CAGCATAATATGTTGAGGGGGTGATTCTGCCAAGTGCTTTTATTTGGACAAATGTACTCCATAGATGTAGTAGCCTAAAAAGAGAGCTATACTTCATTTTAATAAATTTAATTTAATAAATAAATAAATAAATAATTAAATAAAAATTTTCAAGCATGATGCTTGAAGGAACGATGTAGGATTTCAGGAAATGATTCAAAAGCAGGCAGCAGCAACAGTAGAATTATCTGTTTCATGTCATTCATTAAATGCACAAATATTCTTGCTGAAGTGTCAGACACCTGTGCTGATGAAACCCAAAAGGGAAAAGGCTGTCATCTTGGTGTATGTTTAACTTGTGTGCATCATGACAGTGTACAAATGTTCCAGCATCAGCCTGTATAGAAGCTTACTGGCTGCACAACCCCGGTCTCTTTCACACTCCGCTGCTTCCATCCACTTTGTTGCTAATACAGTTTGGGAATTGAGTATGTTTCCTTTTGACTTACAGGCTGTATTCACACAACCTGTTTCGCCAGGTCACTTGAAAATTTAGAGGTTTTAGATTACAGTTCCCTTCATCCTTGCCTATTAAACAAGCTGGGTGGGGTAGATAGATGTTGGGTGCCAATTATCTTTGAATTTTCCTCATTGATGATTTCCTTTTATGGAACAAGAAAGGAGACTGTGCCTATGAAAGAAATTTAAACAGTGGCTACATGAAAGCAAATAGTACAGAAAGTAAATACTATCTGTTCTTCAGAAAGTAAGTGGGCAGAGGTGAGAGTTATTGCCATACCTCTTACCCAGGATGCTATAATATTGTGCTTCTAGTCTGTGTGTCCATATGCCTGTTCTCAAGAAAGAGAACATATGAGTGAGGCTGTTCTCTATTTATGGTCCAAACTATATATAAGCCATCAAGAATTGAATCATAACTATTTTTTATTGTAGCCACCCACTTTCAGGATTACAATAAATGTGATTAAGATTTAACCCAATTCTCCCAACATGGTTCCAACAATAAGCTCTCCAAAATTCTTCTTACTTCCAAGTGGAAAGTTTCTGTTAGTTGCTCTCTCTGCAAGCAGTAGCACTAATTCTGAATTGTTCCAGCAACTGCTACTTATAATGGAGACACAGATTTCTAAATATCACATGTAGTTTTAGCTGCATGTATTTTGGTGCTGCACATCTTTAAAATGCCATACCATGTGATGAGCTGTTTCATTAGGCTAGACAATATTGGCAACTTATAGCATGGCGGGAATATTGGAGACTCTAAAGAGCCTGCCTGTCTTTGGCTTAAACGGCTTCTGGGCCCAAAATGTATAGGTACTTTCCTAAATTCCACATGACTTTTGTTCCAATCATGCTTATTCAGATGATTCTAGATAAAAGGGTTTGCAGGAATTTTGCATGTTCATGATGAGGTTGTTAATAAAAATGTCATAGTCATACTATTACAGGAAATCAAACAAGGTTGAAATAGTTGGGCAATGTTGGGCTTCAGGGTTTAGTGATTGTAGTCTAGACAACAGATTTCCTGACATTTCACCAGCAATTGTGTCTGGCATCTTCAGAGGCAAGGTGGTCTGCTACACTGATCACAGGCAACTGAGCAGGGATTGACTGGGTTCCTGCTCAGTCACAGTTGCCTCTGTGGTCCTGAAGCCCAACACTGCCCAACAGATATCAGCTGTAAAAGCCTATATCAGTATAAGGTTGAATGCCTTAACTGAGAAGAATTATCGTGAAATGTACATGCTCTCCAAAACTCAGCAGATAGCAGTGGCTGGACTGACCTGGATTAAGTCTGAAAGATAATAAGGCTTGGGCCTGGTTAATTCTGGAATGGAAGAGTACCTGGGAATACCAGGACCATGGACTAAACATGGACTAAAGTTGAAATACATCCCAGAAGGAGGAATCATTTTTGTACTGTATTGTTGCCAAAAAAATCACATGGACAAGTTCAGGAAGCCTCCGGGAGTTTGACCTGAAGGAGACTTTTCCTTTGTCCATGTTGTCTAAAAGCTCCAGATTTCTGGTTTGGTTCCCTTCCCTCTCCTTCTCTGTCCAAAGACTTCCATAATTTCAGTTTTCTTCATATAAAGAAAATACATTATTGTTGATGTTGTCCTAAAAAAAGGGGGTGGGGGGAGGAGAATAGAAGAGATAGGAAGCAGAGCAATTTCCTGCTGCAGCAGCTCTGTATGTAATCTGCTTCCCCAGTCCCCCAACGTGTAATGAAATAATGAAATATCTTAGGAGAAAAAAACTGTTTTGAAACAGAAAAGTAGCTATGGCTTGAGAACGAGCTCTACGCATGTTGGGCTTCAGAGAAGCATTATGTCATTCTCATTTGCACTGTTAGGGGATGATCTCATTGAGGAGGAGTTGCTGCAATTTACAGCTATGCTATTTCAGCCCTGTGATGATTAGCGTTCACTGTGCTCACCAGCAGAACAGAATGAAAGGGGGAGAGAAATGGCATCGTAAATTATTGAAAATCCTCAGAGATTTTAAAAAATGAACACTGGAATGGGCGGATTAACAGTAACAAGAATGTGATTCAGTTGCTCCTTTTTCTGTTCCTCAGGACAGAGGGATGTTGTCCCAAAGAAAAAGAAATCAGAATACTACATACAGTTTTCTACTTCAATCCCATCTTCTAGACAGCTTTTTTTTTTTTTTTGCAGTCTTTATCAACTTTTTCCCTGCCTCCCCCATTCTATGATCCCCATTTAAAAACTTCTTACTTTTTTTAAAAAGGGAAAACATATGTATTATGCCTGTGGTACAACTTGAAAAGTGTGGCAGTTAACCAGTGCGTCTGTGGCATGGTGCGTGTTGCAATTGATAATTCCCAAATTGCTTACTGTTAAAATGATCTCTGTTAGGATAAAAAACTGTGCAAAACAATTTGTAACCAAAAACAAACAAACAAACAAACCCCTCCACAAGAATTGAAAAATGGAAGAGGAAACAGTAAGACAGGAGACTGAAGCAAGGATTGCTGAGAACTGGAAGTAAAGACATGTACAGTATAGCTGGGAAACCTGTATCTTTAAGCAAGAGTATATGGAATGAGAACCCAAACCAATCAAATATATCATCCATACCATAAATCAGGGACAAACCAACTTTTTGCAGCCAGTAATTGATCATCATGATCATCATCATCAGCCACTACCACAGGGAAGGGAAGGGAGCTTACATTAAAATATAATCTGTGGGAAAGAAATTTCACCTTTTCTTCCTTTTTTTCAGATTACACAGTTAAATCTAGCCCTACAGGATTTTTATTTCGAAACCTGTGCAGCTAGCTGCACAGCCATTTACCAGACCTTTTTTTAAAGGCACTTTCACAGATCCATATCACCTCCGCTTCTCCCACAGAGACAGCCCTATACATGAGATGAGGGGTCCTTCTGTAAATACAAATGATAAGGCATTTTTTCCTTACTTCTTTTCCATCAGTTGCAATGCCATATGATTGAATTATAAACATAGTGGATTTTATACTGTATTCATTAATGTGATTAATACCAGCACAGCAGTCTTAGAAACAAAGGTGGCTCCATAGATAGTGTACTTTAAATGAGGCAGTTTTTACCTTGAGGATACTCTGTTTACTTTCATGAGCAATTCAAATAGGATGGGATTTTTAAAAAAAAAGTAAAAAAAACAAGAGCTCCATGTGTTGCAGCTCTTTAGCAAAAAAACAGAAGACACGACAAAATGTATAGCCTTTTGCCTCTCCCATCCACTGCTTAGTTTCAGGAACTAGTTATTCCTTGTATAGCTATAAACTGTAAAATACAACTACCATAATCCACAATTCTGCTGCCCCACAGCAGTAGAAATTGTTGCCAAATATATGTCACTGTTTGAGGTAGAGAATCTTTTGGAGTAATTACTTGGCTGCTCTGTTTGGACTGCCATGTTCTGGCATGACTACCTGGTGGATTTACCTGCTTTAATCTTAGCTAGGCAATTTTGGGGTGCATGTTGAAAGTCAGGATAGTTGAACAGCCACTATCCACTGAACAGATCCTGGGTCAACTTCTCCTGTTGGTTGTAGCTTTGCAAAGAGCAGTTAGAATTTTGAATCTTAATGGCACATTGCTTCCTAACCCTGCCTTCATTTGTTCCTGATTTTTGATCCTTCTATTTCAGAAAATCTTCAGAAGAAGTGGATATGGATAAAGTCACGGCAGCTATGGTTCTAACTACTTTATCCACCAGCCCTTTGGTTCGCAGCCCTCCTATCCGTCTTAATGGTGAGTATGTATTCTTACTTAGGAGAGATTATGAAAGAAAATGAAAGTTTGCGGAAAGGATTAGTAGGCACACCTGGCTTCATTTTCCCTCCCGCCTGCCAGTACCAACTACCAGTCATTTTCCCTAAGGTGGGGTGGGGTAGAGTGAGTGAGTGTAAACAAATGCTTACACTAGAGAGTTTATCCACTTGTTTAATTGTCCAATTAACAGATTGCAGACATGGAGGGTGAGGCAGGAGGGAGTGCCCTCCCACACAGTTCTACTCAGCATAACCTCTTCTCCGTGTCTGTGACTTGTCAGGTACATTCTTTCTGAACACGGGTCTAGTGCTTTTCTTCTTATGATAGAGCATTAAACCTGTATTGAAATACAGCCTGGTTGACAGATCACAGACACTGAGTGAAGTAGGAGACAACAATAACAAATGTCCTTGACTACTACCGCAGGATAGTGGCAGTGCTGGCAATGAGTGGCCAAGAAATCTAGCTCTGACCTTCATGGCTGCCAGTTGCCAAAAGTAGTGAGGGACTGCCATTGGCCCACACATCATAACTGCAGTCATCACTGTGGCACCTAGTGTAGACAAAGCTAAAATTGAGTAGGCAAAATAGTGTGTTCCCTCTCTCCCAAAGTAATAAAAAGTGTAAAAAGTACAGCCTCATGAAACCCCTTGTCAACAGAAGCAGTGGAAAACTGGTAACGCTATCAATAGTGATGGGCGCAGCAACACGCAGCTGACAAAACCTGTTTGTTTTCTGGTTTGAAATAACCTTTTGTGCTGTTTAGAACTGGTGGTCTCTTTCAAAAGAACCCTAAAGCCATGTTTAGAAGACTGGCCAGAAGACCTGCTCTTTGTAAGGAGCCTGCACAAGACCCAAGAAGTGCCCTAGAAAAGCGCCTGTTGGGCATTGTATGAACAGATACTTCTGTGGAAGCTGGATGTTCATCTTTCTTACTGCCAAAGGGCTAAAAGGGCCATGGAGGGCAGTTCTCAGCAACCATAAGGGAGATGTCATGACTGCATCAACTTAAAGTGACCAGTAGGAAGTGAGCAGATCCCATCTCTAACTGCGTCAGCAGCCATATTGTTCTTGAAGCATGCCAGATCATATCAATAGCAAAAAATGTCCTGGGAGAAGAGAAAAAGCACTGTTTTTAAACCAGAACCCCTAAGGATGACTTTAAGCTGCCTGAAGAATGGGTGGGGATGAGATGAAGGCAAAGTCAAGAGGACATGGCACTCAAAAGCAGCTACTGGGCATATTTATCCTATTATTGGTGGGGGTGGGCATGAAGATGCATTTGAAGGAATAGGTTCAGCAGCCATCTCCATTTGAGTCTCTTCCTCTCCAAATGACAATATTTAAGACCATTGTTCCATTAAAAGAATAAAATAAATAAAAGGAAATGAATTTGCAGAATTTATGTGTAATGTAGAAAGCTTTGGAATGATATTCATCTTTCAAAAAGAGAGAGCATGGTAAAGATGATATAACTCCTTTTTTTCCTTAATTAATCCAAGCCGGAAAATGCAGATATGCCATAATTAAATAATTTTAAAATCCATTTGCATGAATTGTAGTTTTGTTTGTTTATTCAGAGAAGCCAAAGAAAAACAAGCAGCATATTTAAACTCTTCTCAACTTAGAGGTTGCTACCAGATGTCCTGCTTAGATATAATATATAAAAAAAATCAGGAAAACATTGCACTACAAGACACAAGGAAAATCAAGGCATTGTTTCTAGTATCTTAGTTTTCAATTATCTGTCCTCAGGTATGGATTGCTGTTCCACTGCTTTCTAGCCAGATAGAAACCACAGGTCTGTTTTTCTAAGACAACTTGCTTTATCTTACAAGTCCAAAACGGGACTTGGCTTAACCAAATAGGAAGGGAGGAAAAAGTGGGAGACCAAAGCTGAAGTGTGTGATCCACTGTTCTTGGGGTTGAAAATAAGGAATAGACTGGCCTGAGAAAGGGAGCTGACAAGAAAATTGAGAAATAGAAAAAGGGAGTCTGAGGAGAAGGGAGACTTTTGGTATAGAAGGGTCTTGTGGTATGGTATTAAAGGCTGTTTATTGTTGAGACAAGAGAGAAACTACAGGTGGGAAGATGAAAGCATAAGGATTATTTATTTAATACAATTTAGAGGCTGCCTGACTCCAAATAACTTTGGCCAACTTACATTTTTAAAAGAGGAGGAAGAGGAAAGAAGGAAGGGAGGGAGGGAGGGAGGG